GGAATCCAGGGGGTATCCAGGTGGGAATGGGGCTGGAATCCCAGGGGTATCCAGGGGAAATTGGGGCTGGAATCCAGGGGGTATCCAGGTGGGAATGGGGCTGGAATCCCAGGGGGTATCCAGGGGAAATTGGGGCTGGAATCCAGTGCCGCCTGTCCGGGGCAGACCTGGCGTCCGAGATGTCCACGTGGGACGGGGTGATCGTGACCCCCTCGGAGAAGGCGTACGAGAAACCCCCGGAGAAGAAGGAAGGGGAGGAGGAAGAGGAAAACCAGGAAGAGCCAGCGGCGGGAGAGGAGGAGGAGAGCATGGAGACCCAGGAGTGAGGGCACAGGGACACCCGGGGCAGGGGAGGGACCTCCCAGCGTGGCCCTGTCCTTGTTTTTATAAGCTGCACATTAAAGTGTGACCCCCCCTCCCCTCTCCACGGAGTCCTGGTGGGTCAGGGACACGCGGGATGGGTGGGAGTGACACGGGTGGGGTGGCAGGAAACACCCGAATCCCAGCTGGGGACACCCAAATCCCACCTGGGGACACCCAAATATCCCATCTGAGGCTGCCCAACCCCTAAATCCCACCTCAAAGTGTCCAAAACCCAAATCCCAGCTGGGGACACCCAAATCCCAGCTGGGGACACCCAAATCCCAGCTGGGGGTGCCCAACCCCCAAATCCCACCTGAAGGTGTCCAAACCCCAAATCCCAACTGGGGACACCCAAATATCCCACCTCAAAGTGTCCAAATCCCAACTGGGGACACCCAAATCCTACCTGGGAGTGCCCTCACTCCACCTTGGGCCTCCCAAACTCCCTTGGGGGTGCCCAAATCCCCCCTTGGGAGATGCCCAGACCCCCCCCTGGCAGCTCCCGCTATCCCCAGTGTCCCCAAAGCCCCTCAGGGACGTGGCACCATCACGGACTCCGACGTCACTTTTATTCCAGCGCCCCCAAATCCGGGCACACTCCGGGCAGGTTGGGGGGTTGTCCCTGCTCTCTGTGCTACAGGTGAGAGGGGGGACACCTCCTCCAAATTCCCAAGGCTGGGATCCCACAGGGAGGATACCTGGCTCTCACTTGCCCTGGTAGCCCCCGGCCTCCAGCATCGCCCTCCTGCGCACGGTCTCCTTGGCCACGCTGTGGTTCAGCCTCCTCAGCCGCTCCTGGGGCAGGGAAATCCCTCACTGTGAGTGGCTCTGGGACCCCCCCAAAACCCCCCCTTCTCTGCCCCTCAAAGCCCCCCACCTGGGCGTTCTGCAGGATGTTGTTGACCAGCACCACCCGGCGCCGGGCGTTGAGCAGCTTCTTCACGTAAGGGTCGAGGTCCAGGGCCACCTTCTGGTCCTCGTTGATGCGGCAAAGCTCTGGGGGAAGGGGGCACAGAGCCCGTGAACCCCAAAAACTGGGGGGTGAGGGGGGTGGCAGAGGTGATCCCCCCAACTGTTTTTTGGCTCACCTGTGGCCAGGCTGTCGATGTGTTCCCGCAGCTCCACTTGGCTCTCCCTGCGAGGGGAGGGCAGGGAAAACGTTGGGCACCACCCCAAAACC